AGAGAGGGGGACAGAGAGAGAGAGAATTTTAACATTTATTTATTTTTTCTTAGTTCTCGGCAGACACAACATCTTTGTTGGTATGTGGTGCTGCTGAGGATCGAACCCGGGCCACACGCATGCTAGGCGAGCGCGCTACTGCTTGAGCCACCTCCCCAGCCCCAACTCTTGATCCTTTTGCCTCCAGCCTCCCAAGCCACTGGGCTTGCAGGCATGTGCCATTGTACCTGGCTCTTTTATGTTTTTAATGTTTGTAATGGCATATATATTTTTGTGACCAAATTGGATATTTTTGTAGTATAGAATGGATTTCCAGGGAAACAAAACAAACCAAACACTGCATTTATGGGAAATATCAGAAGACTTATTCCCTTAATTTCCTGACTTGTAGGTCATATGTATTCCTGTCATTATTTTCTGTGCAGTTGAAATCATACTGTACACATCAGTTCGATTTTCTTTTTCATTTACTCTGAAAACCTCACTTCCAATGACTGCCGAATAGTTCATGATTTGGATGTACTGTATACTATGTGCAGAGATCATAGCTCTATTTCCCAGTGTTTGTCCTTTTAACCACATGGCACAGGGATCAATTATTCAGTTATCATTAGGGTCCCAATATTTTATACTACAAAGCACAGCAACCTCAGAAAATCTTTTTAACAGTTTTTGCCCAACCCTTCCAAATGCATTGTCAGGTCACCTGTATCTGTGTTCTATCAGGATTCTGATTATGCATATACCCATACTGCAAGGTATAAATTGCTAACACTTTGTGTGTGTGTGTGTGTGTGTGTGTGTGTGTGTGTGTGTGTGTGTGTGTATGTGCGCGCGCATGCGCAAAGTTCCAGATTCGGGGAGAATTAATTATTTGTCCCCTTTCCCTTCACTTCCTGCCTGCCTGGGATGATTTCTTTTTTCTTAGCACTGTATCTGCATCCTCTCTCTTTAATTTTCAGTTGACACTTCCAGTCTCTCACCAGCTACAAGAAGTTTTTTTCCAACCACTTTAGCCCACATTAACATCTCCCTCCAGGGAACTGACTGACAGCACCTTCATTTTAGTTCTTTATTGCCAGCCATCTTGTATTATTCTGTTTTTTTTTTTTTTTTTTTACTTTAGATCATAAGAGCAGAAATGCACTTATAATTCTTTTCTACTCCTGTGGGGCAAAGCACGTGAAAAAGTCATCCAATTCCAATAACTTCTAGCTGAATGGAGTAGAGTTGAAATGCCAAATAATGTACTGACTAAAAGGCTAAAGTGAGATTTTTCTTTTCGGAAAAAAACAACACAACACTTAGCATCTGTCCAATATCTCAAGCAAGAATTTAAATTCTATCAGTTTATAATCATCTGAATTGGATAAAGTAGGTTAAAAAAAATCCGCTACTTACTCAGAATTCGTGCAAACCCAAAGTCACAGATCTTGATTATTCCTTGCTTGGTTATGAGAATGTTTTCAGGTTTTACATCTCGGTGAATACACTGGAAGACAATAGTTGATTATTTTTCTGGGCCATCATAATGACCAAGAATAAATATTAACTACTAGTATATCGACGAAGAAGTAGCCTATGATATAAAAACAAAGATTCCCTTCATTTTTCTAAAAGAACTTAAATTGGCAGCTTTTACCTAAAATCTTATCATTTAAAAGAAAAAGAATATCCAAATGTTGCTACATTACTGAAGAAATTTAAATTACAGTTGTATATGAAAACTGTATCAGTTTTTTTTGGGGAAGAAGTGAATACTATACAATTATTTCTTTCACTTTTTATTGCGTTTATTAAAACTGCACTAGATAAGACCCTAACTGAAACTAGATTCTATGGACCTGTAGTAAGACCTGTGGCCACATGAGAAACACAAAAGAGGTTGAATAATTATTGTGGATTTGAGAAAATGGAAAGGCATTTAAATTATTTTTTTAAAAATTCACTTTTTAAAATTTGAGTGAGAGTATTGTTTTTTTTTTAATTTATTTTTTTAAATTTTTATCCAAATTAGGACACCTGCAAGTGTAAAGGGAGCTCTGTAAATAAACATGCCAGAACAGGCGCAGATCAGAACTACCCTGGGTGAACTGTGATGTAGCCACCTACTTAGATCAGAGATCCCAATTTTCTCTGCAGTGAGCTGACCAGGAATGATGGGGCGGCCCTCATGAGATGTTGGCACAGTGCAGGAGGAGTCCCTCCCAGGAGGATAGGAGGACCCCTCTTGTGAGTCATTCTCACCTTGGAGAAGCTCTGCTGTTCTTTTTAAATATGTAGCGACCTTACAAATTTGCTGTGTCACCATGACCCTTCCTGCTGAACATGAGAAAGCTAAGCTGGGGACTTGGAGGAGGGCAAACAAGCGAGTGCACACATCATGAACCCAGGAGAGGTCTTCCACGTTGCAGAGGTACTGTGGCACACGCCTATAATCCCAGTGACTTGGGAGCCAGAGGCAGGAGGATTTCAAATTTGAGGTCAGCCTCAGCAATTTAGCAAGGCCCTAAGCAACTTAGAACCTTTCTAAATAAAATATTTTAGGAAGGGGTTGGGGATATGGCTCGGTGGTGGTTAAGCATCCCTGGGTTCAATCTCCAGATCTAAAAAAACAAAGCAAAGCAAAACAGAAACAACTGTGGCCCTATTCTTCAGAACTTCTATCTTTTCAGATCATTTATTCCCCTCCCCAAAAAGAGTTAAAAATGATACCACTCTCTACCACTTAGCCCCCATCCAGAGCTCTGTGCTTTTCAAAGTACTTCCACATGAATTATTTCATCCTTGCAATAGTCCTGTGATTGTTGGTGGCCACTGACAAGTCCACTGAATAAGTGTCACAATCAACTGTGTCTGCCTCACTTCTCTGCCATGCTGCCAGTCTCTTTAGGTATTTGTGTCAAATTGATAATTCTGAAATCATTTTTGCTTCAATAACCACTACCTAGAAAGAGAAAAAGCTAAAGCTTAAATTCATCTTAGGTCACAAAAATGGCAGTAGTGAACCTGAGTTTGTGGCTCAGTGGTAGAGCGCCTGCCTCACACGTGAGGCACTGGATTCGATCCTCAGCACCACATAAAAAATAAGTAAATAAATAAAATAAAGGCATTGTGTCCATCTACAACTAAAAAAAAAAAAATTAAAAAATGGCAGTGGTAAAAGAAGCTTGTTTCTTTGTAATCTCAATTACTGACAACTGTTTCATAATGTGTACTTCTAGAAGTTTGAAGAACCATTTTAGATCTCCTAATACCTTAGGTATTGATCTTAAAAAAATACATTATTGGAGAATAAAATATTTTTGATATGCCACTTTTTTTTTCTTTTTTGGCGGTATTGGGGATTGATTCCAGGGTTGCTCTACCTCTAAACTACATCCCCAGCCTTTTAAAATTTTATTTTGAGGCAAGGTCTCAATAAATTGCTGAGGCTAGCCTCTTGTGTTCCTCCTGCCTCAGCCCCTGAGTTGCTGGGATTACAGGCCGAGACTAACTTTCTGAGTCAGCAATACTTAAAATAGTTGGTGATTTATAGAACAGGTATGTCCCTCAAATGACTTTATATAGAATTCTGGAGTTTCTAGAGTATGTGTGACATTACAAAGTAAATATACTTATATTGATATTTGTTTGTTGGCCTATTTATATATATTTTTTTGGATCTAATGCAGACCATGTTGAAATTTATAGCAAGTATTTTTCAATCCAAAAATATAAAAGGCAAACAAAATATTAGTGTGTCCCAAAGAAACAGAAACATTTATTTATATAGCCATAGGTAAGAGAAGCTACTGATAAAAAGATAAGAATATTGAAGAAAGAAAAATAAATAAAAATGATTGAAACAGTAAGAATCAGAGCATGGAGGACAGAAACACTCAGACACACAGCTTTTGTCTTCTCTACTGCAAAGCCATGCTCTGTACAAGCTCTCTTCAGCCAGCTTTTGTGAAGTGCCTCTTGCAATCAGCTTATTTTCCACCAAACAAGAAGAAACATGCAAGTTTCTTTAACGGAAGAATTTTAATAAACTTGGGTTTCATAGGCATCTTTTGTGTGTATGTTGCTGAGGATTGAACCCACAGACTTGTGCATGTGAGGCAAGCACTCTACCAACTGAGCTATATCCCCAGCCCTTTATATACTCAGGTTGAGTTATTGTTGGTTCACAAGCTGGCAAAAAAAGAGGGAAAAAATGTCATTTTAAACCTGGCTTTCAACTCAAAGAATAATTTCTGGAAGCATCCATTCCAGTAACTACTTCTTGTATGCCAGATTGAGCAATAAATAATTTTCTATAAGCTGAGAAGGTGGTTCTCTATGACCAGGCTGTGGGGGTGGATGGTTATTAGCCATGAGAGAGAAAACAGATGCCTCCTTGCTGACCCACTATGGGTATCAGCAAGATGCTGATGGATGCTGCAGTTGGGCACCTCCATGTCTCAGATATCACTGTGGTTTTGCTATCATGAAATAAAGTTCTTCTCTAACCAGTGAATCAGATATAAATATATGGATTCACAGTGAAGTTAAATGGATCACTTCAGCTATCTCACACTGGCAGTATTAGAAAGTAAAACAGAACAAAGTATGTATTTTCTCAAATCCAGCACTTCTCAAAATTTAATATGCACACCAATCATCTGGAGCTCTTGTTAAAATGCATATTCTGAGTCAGCAGATTGGAGTGGGCCTGAGATTCTGCATTTCTGACAAGCTCTCAAGTGATCCCTATGAGCCATTAAGTGGCAAGGCCTCAATCCCTTACTGCTTTAACCTCCATTGTCTTGCTAAGGATCATGACTCTGGAGATAATAAGGTGCACTCCTTGGGAGTGAAAGCAATATTACTGGGTCAAATTGCCTTTTCTGTAATTTTGAGAGCATCATTAGAGTGCCTCTAAAAATAAAGACTATAAAGGTTTTAGGTGTATTATGGTAACAGCTTATATATGACTTAAGAGTTTTTCTTTCTCTTTTCTTTTGGGTATCAGGAATTGAACTCAGGGACACTCGACAACTGAGATACATTCCCAGCCCTATTTTGTATTTTATTTAGAGAAAGGGTCTTTGCTTAGTTGCTTAGCACCTTGCTTTTTGCTGAGGCTGGCTTTGAACTCTAGATCCTCCTGTCTCAGCCTCCCAAATTGCTGGGACTACAGGCGTGTGCCACCATGGTTGGTAAGAGTTTTTCTTTTGCATGCATTTAAGTTAACAGTTAAAAAGGAAAAGATGGGTATACAAAGGCTTACCATTGCATAAGAAAATCCATAAGTTCAGAAGTAGTTTTCATCTTGGAGGAGGAAAGTTTTGTCTAAAAACTATCCATTTTTAAAAGAGGTCATGGATTATCAATGGGAAGTTTTCAATATTTTAAAGCTTAGGATATAGAATGTATTATTCCAAGCAGAGAAACTATGGCAGTCTCATTGAGCTATAATAATGTTTGAGTCCTCTGGCAATAGTGAGTGACAATCAGACTGATTGAACGACTAATTCATCCATCCATTTATTCAACAAGTATTCACTGAGTACCTTTTATATAAAAGGTCAATGCTAAGCACTAAAGAAACAAAGACAAATCAGCCTCACATTTTGCATTACTCTAGGTCACAGAAAAGTGTCAAGTTATATAGGGGGATATGGCACAACCACTTATAGTGAATAGTATTTAAAAAAACATTTAGCTACCCACAAAGTTCCTGCTGCAACCTTAGGTGAACTTGATAGCACAGTAGAAAGCAACAAAAATATGGATTCAATTCAGTATTTTATTTTATTTGTACTGAGGATTAAACCCAGGGATGCTTTACAACTAAGCTACATCCTCAGCCCCTTTTAAAATTTTTGTTTTGCAACAGGATCTCATTATGTTATTGAGGGTCTCTCTAAATTGCTGAGACTGACTCTGAACTTGTGATCCTCCTGCCTCAGCCTCCTGACTTGCTGGGATTACAGCTGTGCCCACTGTGCCTGGCAATTCAGTGACATGTTTATGAAAAATTTGAAAGCACAATTTGCATCATGAAAAACAGGTTTCTGTATGTTGTGAACGCATCTCTCTACACCAATAGAAGGCTTTTGGTTGATTCTAATGAAAACGTCACTGATTTTCTTAAAACTAAAGAAAGCTTCCCTAAGTATTGACATTTAATTCCATGATCTTGTATTTTATTTTTCTGCAATCCTCAATGGTAGACATTCTGCTGGCATCAAAACTGACCATATGGTGCCTTAGCACTCTCTTTGTCTAGGCATTTACTCAAAAGGTCTAGAGATATCTTCTATAAGCTATCATTCTAGCACAGGATCCAATTTGAGTAAGGGCCCAATGGCCTGAGATGGGAAAATTTGAGCATTTAAGAGAACAATGACCACAAAGGATCGGAAATATCAACTATATAAAAATTCATGTTTATAATGATGCCCCACCACCTTCCCCTGAAAGCCTGTCACGGTCCATCATTGGAGGTTGATGAGCTACTTACTCATCACTCTGAATATTGACACATAAAGGAAATCATCACATATCCATCTTGCTGTATTTTACAATAGCCAGAGTATGTAAGGGTAAGTTATTTTTCATAAATCAATGATAATGCAGAAGAAACAACAGAATTGGAAAATTAACATCTCTTAACATTAATGAAATACAAGATGCAGGCAACCATCATCACTGGATGCTAAACCATCAGGTGAAAAGGCTGACAGGGCAAATGCCAATGGAATGGATCAAACTCATAACTCTGGAGCCCACTGATCAGTATCAACATTGTCAGAAGCTGGACAACCAGCCACTATGTGCCTCATGATGATGCAATAAGAAGTGTACCACGGGCTGGGGCTGGGGCTCAGTGGGAGAGCGCTTGCCTAGCATGTGTGAGGCACTGGGATCGATCCTCAGCACCACATAAAAATAAATAAATACATAAAGGTAATGTGTCCTTCTACAACTAAAATAATAACAATAATAGAAAGAAAGAAGTGTACCATACCACAAATGTGATATTCTTGTCTAAAAAATACAGAGCCCAAATATGACAAGGCTCTAGATAAAAATACCCACATTTAGGAAATACAGGGGGAAAGAACAAATTAAATTGTATGTAGGAAACAGGGGGCCAAAATTATTTCTATAACACAGCAGTATCCAAAGTGTGGTTCTCGTACCTGCTGCTTCAGTATCATCTGGGGAAATGTTACAAGTGCACGTTCTCAGGCCTAACACAGCTTTCCAGGTCATTCTGATACCTGCTCAAGTTTGAAAACTGTAGTTCTAAAAAATTAATGGCATGGAAAATTAAATTTAAAAAAAAGGTAGGGGATGGGGAAGTGTTGATGAAAGACTTAAGAGAAATAATAAAAACAAAATTGAGTGCCGTGGTGGGTGACATTGCTGACACCCTGACAAATTATTTTAAAACTCAATTTAAAAATAATCATGGGAACCATTAGTATTGCAGCAAAATGAAACATGAAGTTTATACAAACTTTTAATTCATGAGAAATTAGTCACATGATTCTTAGAGAAATTGGAAAAGGGCCATGGATATCGAATCCCTTTTCCTCAGATCTGTAACTTTCATTTGTTTTGCTTTTATGGTTCTTTCCCTCTATCTTTAGATCTTTGGATAGATCCCTGAGCTGTTTAGAAGAGTCATCAAGAAGATATTAATAAATATGTTAGAAAATGTTACTTACATTATGTTTATGACAGAAATTAAGAGCTTGAAGTGTTTGCCATAATACACTTTTGATCACTCCATCAGCAACTCTGGGGGAAAGAATTAAAAAGGAATTGAGAATGCCAGGCATGGGGTTCCAGGAGCAAAGGCTGGGACTAGAAATGGAATGAATAATTTTCTTTTGTAGTTTGAAATTTTTACATCTGTCAAATGATACATGCTTATCATGAAAATGTATAACTCTGTTACATGAAAATAGTTGCTATAACTTATGGAGGCTGACTTTCGCTGCATTTACTCTTTTTTTTTTTTTTCCTGGTCCTGGGAATTGAACCCAGGGGTGCTTTCCACTAAGCTACATCCCCAGTCTGTTTTATTTTTATCTTGAGATAGGTTTTTGCTAAGTTATTTAGGGCTTTGCTAAGTTGCTGAGGTTGACCTTAAACTTATGATCCTCCTGCCTCAGCCTCCTGAGTTGCTCAGATTACAGGTGTACACCACCACGTTCAGCCTGCATTTACTTTTTAACTTTAATTTTAAATAAAAACATTCAAATGGCTCAAAAATTTTAAAGTACATTCACAAAGTCTTCTGACACCTGCCTAATTACCCATTTATCTTCTGCAATTCTACCCTCACTGCCTGGCTTCTCTCAGAAATGAGGTACAAATCTTAACATGTGCACATATATTTTAGTGGCTGAGGAGGACTCATTTTATGTATCATAATGTACTTATTCCCCATTGATGAGCAGTAAGGTCGAGCCAATTTTCATTTCTAGAAGCACTTCCATGAACATCTGTAATCATCCATCTTGTTGCAGTTGTACAATTATCTTCTTAAAGTAAATTCCAAAATATGGCATTTCTGGAACTAATCATAGGCACATGTAGAGAAGAACTTCAGGCAGACCTGACACCTGGCTTTGCAGGGAAAAAGGTAAATTTGGAAGAGGGACTTTGAATTCACTCAGCTCATTTGGTGATACACACTCAAGCACATGCTGGATCCATGGTGCAATGGCCGAGCATCTGGTAAGTGGGGTGGTTTACAGCCAGAGAGGCCAGGGAGAGGAAAGATCCTATGAGAATGGGAGGCTGGCAGTGATCATTGCTCTGTGTAGAAAACACTGGAAGATATTACGGGCAGGCGTAATTTCCACGGGGGACTTGGGGACCTGGGAAACCTGTCTACTTCATGTAACCATCTCTACAAATTCTAGCAATTGCATTCACTTTAACTTTTCTGTTGGTGTCTTTCCATGACTCACATCCCTGTCCCGTGATGATGCCTTCACATTTACACTCTGCCAAGCTACCCTCTCTCGAAGGAAGGTTATACCCATTTAAACTCCCACCAAACATCTGTGCAGATAAGTCCCCATTGCCTCATGGTCTTGCCAACATTTAGTTTTGCCAATGTTATGTTTGCCAATCTGTGGTTAAAATGAAATGATATTTCATTTTGGTTTTTATTTGCCTTTCATTAATTTTTAGTGATGAATAAATTTCCTATGATTATTGGATACTACAGTTCTTCTTTTGTGTATTTCCATTTCATGGCCTCTATCAATTTTTGGACTGCTCTGTTTACTCTTTTCTTATTCATTTACAAAGACCCAGTGTAGATCAGTCTATTATATATGCAGCACATATTTTTCTCAGTGTATTGTCTGTCTTTCAACCCTGTTGATGCAGATGGGGTTGTTGTTTGCATATTTCAAAAAACTGGAAACACAAGGGTTTCAAAAGAAAACTGTATACTGTAAGGATTTTTCTAAATTTAAAAAACCTTCATAATTATATAATACTTCAATTATATCCCTCACACAGACTTAATATTTCCCCATATTTGGATAGTTAAATCACATATTTAGGTCACTTTTGAATTTATGCAGAGGTAGCTGGTTTTATAGGGTTAGGAGACAGCCTGTGTGTACCTCAGTTATGGCACTAATGACAAGATACCTTCACATGAGGCTGAAGTATATTTGGAGAAACCAATGTAGGAAGGTGTTTTTCTCAGAGCAATTTCCTTATCTTGGATCACAATTATGGTGGCATGTCCTTCACTCCAGTTCTCCTATTTATTATTCTGAAAGCACTGAATTCTCAGTATTAAACCCCTTTCCACTTGAAATGTCTAGTGCTGTTTCCTCCAATGAATTCTGATATAACTTTATCCTTCTCCCCACTTTACCTATGGCCCAGCCTTAAGCAACATTATTTAAATATTTTGTTAGGAGGTAGAAAGGAGAGTATAGCCATTTTGAGCCATGGGAGAGGCTGCCAGAGTTCAAATCCCAGCTGTGCTGCCTCCTCGCTTTATAACTTTGGGTAAATTATTGCTGCTTCTGGGTTTTCCCATATGAAAGGGAAATGTCATTTCATAAGTGATTTGAGAAGTCTGTCCTCTAAATATCTGGGCTTAAACACTCACATGGGCCCAGGAGATGAGAATCTGAAAGATGAGGCCAATAAATGAGGCTGAAACTCCTGCACGAAGACAGAAGCAGTCCTGAGACAGCACAGGGAGCGTGGGGCCAGCAAGGAGGCCAACTTGGCTGGAGCATGAGTGAGAATGTGTCAGGTTTCTCAAGTCCTGCAGGCCTCACAGACCTAGAGCTTGGTAAGGAATTTGTATTTTCCTCTAGATTCAAAGCCACTGAGGGGAATCAAGCAAAAAAGCAATCCAGTAGGGTGAATGGATTTCCAGGGGCAAAGTAGATACAGGGAGATTAATTAGGAGGCTGATTCAGGAACCCAGGTGAGATCTGGTGACTTACATTAGGCTGACAGTGGCAAAGAGGAAGGCAAATGGATTTCAGTTTTAGGGAGGGACTGGCAAGGGTAACCCATGGCCTTATCCATGTAGGAATGGGATGCTGGGAAGGATCTAAGAGAATACAGGAGCAGGGAAGCTGGGGAATTAGGCAGGGCCTAACATTCAGAAGCTGTTATAACCGGGATTTCTAGTCTCAATGATGTGGAATCAAGCATGGATGAATTTGATAGGGAAGCCCTGCGCTGTTGCTATGGCAGGAGTGTTTATAGGCTTCTCACTGGAAGTGTCACAGTGGTCAGTGAGCTCAGGTTCCAAGAAGGTAGGCCTCCCGACTGGCAAAGCAACATCTCTATGAAGTAACAACTACGCACAACGAACACTGATCTTGCAGAGAGAAGACAGTTACCAAAGGAGTTGAGCTGCACAGCGCTCAGTCCAGGAAGACCACGCTGTGACACCATTCGGCTCACAGCCTTTTCCAAAGTGTTTTGGAGAGAAATAAAACCTCCAGAAGAAATCAATGGATTCCATGTTTAAATATTATGTTTTGGGTAAGTGTGAAAAAAATACTAAAAGCAACAATGAAGGCCTTAAAGTGAAAATGAGACATCTCAGTTCAAGGCCAAACAAGTTAAGTAAAGGCATCGGGAATTCAGCCTGCACAGCCCAGAGACGGCTCTCTTAGCCCCTCTGCAGAGATTTAATGCCCACCTCAGAACTCCCTGCATTTGTTTTAGTTTGTTATAATTTTTTTAACTTGATTTCATTATCATTACCCCAGATGAACTGGGTTCTCACTAAACCCCCGTTCTCCGGAATAAATGACAACCTTGTTATTAGGGGTCCACCAGGCTTTTGATGATTTCACTTTTATTAACCTCCCCAACTTCATCTCCTACTACATCCACACAAATTTTCTAGCCAAGTCCTGTTAGTTTTGGCTATTCGCTGAATGTGCCAGGCTTGTTACCAGCTCCAACAAAAGTGAACTGTGAATTAATTCACCTTTTAACTGTTGTACAATTTTATTTTAAAGAATATAAATGCATTTACTAGAATATTGAGAAAATTCAAAATTAACTTCAATTACACTTACCATTCTGCTCTATTAACTCATTTTTCATAGACCAACTCATGAACATTTCCCCAGGACACCAAGTATTTTTCTACATCATTCTTTTTTGCCTATTTTTTTTTTTGAAATTGTTTTTTTTTTTTTTTTTTTTTTTAACGTGGACACAATATCTTTATTTTATTTTATGTGGTGCTGAGGATCGAACCTGGTGCCTCAGGCATGGTAGGCAAGCGCTCTACCTCTGAGCCACAACCCCAGCCCGGAGATCTTCCTGCTTCAGCCTCCACAGTAATCCTCCTGGGATTACAAGCATGTGCCACCGTGATTGGCATGCTGCATTCTTTCTCACGGGCTAGATGAATAGTGTACCATTGTATGGATATACCAAAATGCATGTAACTAATTCCCCCACTCCTTTTATTTATTGTTGGAGTTGAACTCAAGGCCTTATGCATGTCAGGCAAGCGTTCTGCCACTGAGTTCCACCCCCATCTATGACCAATTTTTTCTATGTCTTCATTAGTGCATTCTAGTTCTACACACTATTAGGGTTCATTTTGACATAATCATACATGCATGGAATATGATCTGCCCCACTGCGGTCTCCAGCTTCCCCTTTCCCTTCCCTCCCTGTTCCCCTCCCTTACTCTAGTGGTCTTCCTTTTATTTATTTATAGTTTTCTTTAATTAGTGCTCTATGGATATTACATAAAAGGTGAAATTCACTGTGGTCTACTTACATATGGACATAGCATGATTTGGCCAATTTAATTCCACTGTTCCTTTTCCTGTCCCCCCACTCCCTCTTCTTCAATCCCCCTCCTCTGCTCCACTGATTGATCTCCCATCTATTTTCATGGAATCTCCCCATTGCCTTTTTTCCTAATCAGTTCTTTCAAAATATTTTTTTTCTGTAGTTGTAGAGGGATAGAATGCTTTTATTTTGTTTATTTTTATGTGGTGCTAAGGACGGAATCCAGAGCCTCACATATGCCTCACAAGTGCTCTGCCACTGAGCGACGGGCCCCTCTCCCCATCAATTTTTTATTAGAAAACTCAAGGCCAGTTTTTATTATACTTAATGATATATTGAATATCCATATGTATAACTATTTGTCCCTATCTGAATATTTGATTACCATTTATTTCTCTAAATGGAATTTCTTGATTGAAGGATAAAAACAGTTTAAAAAACTTCATACACACTGCCAAATTGTTCTCCCAATTACACTCTCTTGAACTGTGAATGAGAAAGACTGGTTCCTAATTTCTTTTTTAATATTTATTTTTTAGTTGTAGGTGGACATAATACCTTTATTTATTTATTTTTATGTGGTGCTGAGGCTCAAACCCAGGGCCTCGAATGTGCTAGGTGAGTGTTCTACCACTGAGCACAACCCCAGCGCTTCCTAATTGTTGATAATACTGAGTATAATGATTTTTGCCAAATTTAATAGGTGAAAAATGATCCTTCACCATAAACATTTTAATTTATTTGATTGATAGAGAGAGTAAACTTTTTTTTTTTTTTTGAGAGGGGATATAATGGTCATCCCCTCCTCCTTTTAAAAAGTGTTTCCTTTTCCATGTCTACTAGAATGAAAGCTCCACAAGATTAAGCTACTTTTTTGGTTTGTGTGTTCCTACCTTTATCTGACAGGTCCACAATATTCACTAAATCATTTTTGAATGTATATTTTTTTTCCAATTGGGCATTAATCTTTTCATATATGAAATTTGTTAATTATGGCAGTTTAACAAATTTGGCATTTCTTTTTGGGTTTTGCTTATGGCGCTTTTTTGTCAAAGGAAATCTCTAAAAAAACTGTGATTTAATTCGACTGTTCATATTTTCTTTTTTCTTATTTTTAAAATATTTCTTGATTTGGTCTAGCTTCTTTAAGTTTCAAAAAAACCCATTAGAATTCTGATTAGAATTTATTTAGTAAATAAATTGGGGAGGCAATATTTTTAAAATAATAAATATTTTTATCTAGAAACTATGTTCATTTAAATAAAATTCTTTATGTACCTTAGTTTTTTTAGTTGTAAATGGACACGATACCATTATTTTATGTATTTATTTTTATGTGGTGCTGAGGATTGAACCCAGTGCAATCTACTGCTGAGCCACAACCCCAGCCCTCCTTAGTTTGGGAGATGTCTTTATGTAGAGTTTAAGCAAATCTTTTCATTCCTAAGCTTTTGTCACTGCTAATATTTGAAAAGGGATCCTTCTCCACCAGATTTTCTAACGTGGTATTTAATATTAAAACTGTTAATTTTTGAGTGTGGACTCTCTTGTGGGACAGGGATTCTTTACTGAATTCCCTTAGTTTTAATAACTTTCGGTGACACTCTCGTATTTTGTAACAATAATATTATGTAAATAGTAAAAATCTTATCTTATTTCTAAAAGTGATATTTATTTTTCTTATTGCATCCCACTGGCTACAGTTCTCAGAATGTTAAATTATAGTCATGACAACCAACATCCTTGTCTTGTTTCTCAATTTAATGGATGTTCCTTTGGTGCTTTACCATTGAATGTAAGATTTGTTTGAAGAGGTTTTTTGTTTTGTTTTGTTTTGTTTTTTTGGTGTGTGTGTGTGCAAAAAAAGCATTTTTAATTCTAGTTGCTAAGGTTTTAATTTTTTTTTAATAATCAAAAAGTGTTGGGGCTAGGGCTGTAGCTCAGAGGTAGAGTGCTTGCCTCACATGTGTGAGGGGCTGGGTTCCATCCTTAGCACCACATAAAAATAAAATAAAGGTACTGTGTCCATCTATAACTAAAAAAAAAAAATATTTTTAAAAAGTGTTGGATTTGTCAACATCTCACATTTTCAAATTTTATAAATCACATTTTTTTATCGTTTAACTTACTAGTGAATTATATAAATAAATTTTATAATTGATCCATGGTTCACTTGCTGAAAATGCATTGTCTCAAAATGCATTGTGATTTATATTTACAGATTCGTCTTCCTAGTTATATTTCCTCTAAGTTGATTTCTGATTGCCCTTTAAGCATATTCTGAGAGTGGAGAGGGGCAGCCAGATGCATTTTGTAGAAGGGGTAATAGTGGCTAGGAATTGAAATTGCCATAATTAATTCCACACAGAATGAAACATGGCCATATAGAACTTCAATTTCTAGAGTACTTACCCATTTGGGTTTCTTTCCAGCTCATTTAAAAGTGTATGATCACAGTATTCAAAAACTAAATGCATTTTCCTTTTTCTCCTGAACACCTCAATGAGGTTCACAAGGTTTGAATGTTTTAATTGCTGTAAAGGAGTTGAAATACAAAGTTTAGTGATGGGTTTCTAGGTATCGTTTCTCTCCATATCCCTTTCAATGTTAAGAACACAAGGCCTTTCTAATTATTTTTGTGTGCATCTCTTGTGCAGAAGTTATTATAGATCCTTATAAGAGAAATTGCTCTCAGAATAACAGAAACTTAAAGTAGAAAGAAATATAAGAATTTGTCTAAAGTAACTGAAATTGATGGTAACTAAACTGTTTGACTCCTTCTAGTGATAGCAAATAAAGCATATAAGTTAAAATATAAGCAGTAAAATAAAAAATACTTTGTGCATTTTATGGAAACTCTAAATGTCTAAGTCATAAAATGACCTGAATAAACAATTGAGGAAATGGAATTATTGAGTAAAAGACTATAAAAAATCATCAGTGCCCACTTATCTTATACTTTGCCATGGGCTTAATGTAAATAAATGTCAGCTGGATTTAAACTCAGCTTGGATTCTAGTTTTGGCTCTGAGCAATACTGGATTCCCAATGTTAAATCTGATTAAATTGTCTATTTCAGGGATTTCCAATTAGTCTGTGTTTTAAATTCACTAAATTTCCCAGTAATTCCTTGATTCTGTTCTTCACGCTTATATTTAGATGTTTTATGTGTTAATTTCATTCCCAAACTGAAGCATTTCACAAGGCAACCTTTGTTTTTAATATTGTAAACTAAAGGAAAAAGGATGATGAAGTTGGATGATCCATCATTAGAGTGAATATAAAACTTATCATCTAATCCAGTATAACAGTAGAAGCCAGGACTGTCCCAGGTAAACCAGCATATATGATCACCCTGCCTTTAATTAGGGCAACCATATCATTTAGCATTCTTACTAAGACATTTTTGAAAGGGGATGTTAACTGGACAGGACATTGGGACAAACACCATAAACCAGGACTGTCCTATGTAAACCTGGATATATGATCTCTTCTATTTATCATTTATCTTCCTTGTCATTTTCCCAGAATAGTAGACAAATCAACTTTCCAAACCCTATAGCATTTACCCAGAACAATATATAAACAGAACAAGATGTTGTGCATATAATAGAAGCTCAATTAATATTTTGCAGGCCCAGTAGAGAATCCTAAGTATGTTTTACATTACAAGCCTTTATGTCTGTATAAGTATGGCTTGACTAAAAATGAATAAAATAAAATTACCCTACAATTGTGTTTGCTGCTCAACAATCTGCAAAATTAGAATACCTAAGACATTAAAAATGTGCCTAGAGCATATTTTTGCTTTCTATGAGCTCCAGTGCCTAAAAGAGCAGAAGGTCCAAAAACAGTGGAGCCACACCTCACAGGTGAGCCAGCTGATTTGTATTGCAGTAAAACCACAAAATGGAAGTGAAGCGCTTTTCCTTACAGGCGGGCAAGGGATTCACAGATGAGATGGCTTTATGCGATGACCAAGATGAACCTGGTCAAATCTCTTGTCTCTGGGTAGGTCAGCAATTTATATATCCTTTACAAAGGAAGTTAATAACCCCAACAAACAGTGATTTGCCCAAAGTAAAACAGGTAGAGGGCTGGGGACATAGCTCAGTTGGTAAAGTGCTTGCCTAGCATGCACAAGGCCCTGGGTTCAATCCCCAGCACCACAAACAACAACAACAAAACACACACACACACACACAAAAACCCCCCACAAAATCAGGTAGAAAGGAGAACGAGGAAAATAAAATTTAAATACCAGGAGTATGGGAGGAAAGTAAGGTTCATTTCCCATGGAAGGAGTGTGTTCAAGGCATGCCTGGGTGTGCAACATACCAGAGGCAGGAAAAAGTACATTCTGAGACCAAGCTGAGATGAAATATGGCTACCTTTCACCTTAATGCACATTCTCAAATTGGGGCACTTGTAACTCAGAAGGTACCAGCTGAGCATTGACCTTATTAAGACTTTGGAGGGTATGATATATCAAGATCATTGTACTGTCATATGAAACTAATTAAAACAAATAAAAAATTTAAAGAAAAAAGACTTTGGAGGAAGAGGGAGAAGACTTAAAGCATTATTTTTAATGGAAAACAACACTGCCTGGTTCAGACCCACCCTGCAGCCTGGCCCAGAATTGGGTGCTAGACCTGGCTGGCTCACCACTGCCTTCTGCTGGCTAAATCGCAAGAGTGATTTTTTTTTTTTTTTCTATCATGATTGTTTTCAAAACTGTATTTCAAATTATATTTTAAACAAAACACTATAAAGTATTCATTGGGGACACTTGGTGCAAGTGATATTTGGAAGGAGGGATAATGTAATTATTATCTCCCCTTTTCAAACTGGATTACTGTTTTGTTTTTCCTAAAAACAGAAGACACAGTTCAAAAGTCAAGGCTAGTTGTTCTTGAAATCACAGGGTCTTGTTACTTAATGTGTAACCGCTGGTGTTGTTGCCAATGCCCACCAACCAGCAGCCTCTCTGCTGTCTGAGAGCTCATTAAAAAGGCAGTCTCGGGCCCCCTCCTGGATCCCCATCCCCCATTTCAACAAGATTCCCCAAGGGATTCCTTCTACATAACAGAGAAGCACTGTTCTGGCTTTCTTCCCCGAATGGAAGATTTTTAGGATAGGAAAAAATCTTAACATTGAAAACTTGTGAATCTTACATGTCAAATTCTATCAGAGTAAAAACAATAATGACAAAATCTTTTATGTAAAGTGTATGTACTGCTGGGAGTGATATTCAGTATAAGGACCAGGGCAATACAGGCGGGGACCAAGCAACACTGATATCTAAGGGGCACTAGTGTAGTCCCATGGGCCCCTCTGTGCCAGGAGGTGATCTTTTAGTGGCTGGTTGGTTGGGAAAGTATTTGGGGGCAATCTCCAGAGAAGGGCTGGGGGGAGGAGTAATAGTAGGATAAGGAGTCTTAGGTGGTGTGGATGTTTACCCACTAGAATGGAAGTACTTCAATATTTTAACCACCTACAGCTGTGCTAATATGTATCAGATAAACATCAGAATGGTTAAAGTTCAAGGTGATGATCTACTTATTTCCCAAAGTTGCTGATGCAAAGGAATTTGAGTCCAGTGGAAAAGAAATAATACTTTAAAAATGTTTAGCATACATGTTTCACCTAATGCCTTGAATAGTATGAGAGAGTTAACCTACCTTCAACAAGCGAATTTCTCTCAGTGCTATTTTCTTAACAACAGGGTCATCTTCAGATTCCACGAATTTTTTAATAGCTACTACTTGTCCAGAGGATTTGTTTCTGCACTTGAACACAACTCCATAAGACCCTTCTCCAATCTTAGCTAATTTTTCATACTTTTCCATTATAGTCAAGGTCACTTATATTATTATATTGATGGAACTGCAGTAAAATGTTGCACCTGGAAAATAAGATTGACTAACCTTAATCAGGTTATAAAGGACAACATTCCTGCAGTTAAAAAAACAATTTTCCTGGCACGCCGAAGATTTTCATTGATTAATTTAAACCCGTTTAAAAATACTTAGATGTCATTTGTACATGTGCTGCTAAAGAGAGACCTGGGTGCTGTTTTGTTAGTTTGGTCCTGTGTAGTTCTTGCAACTATCACAAATATTTCGTGAATTATTTCTGATAATGGATCAGTTAAATTACACAAATTTGTGGGAAGGAAACTTGTCCAGCCTATTGTTTTCATTGTCTTCAAGTAAATGATTAAAATATAATGCTGTAAAATCCAGCTTTAGGAACATTTCATACTCCAAACTGGTGTTTACTTTCTCCTTCCTAACTTAACAGGAATGCCTCAATGACTAGGAAGACTTAGGTGACTAGACACGGTACAAAGTGCTAGACTCCCACCTGGTGGAGAGAATGAAAGAGACAATGTGGGCTGCTAACAAAGCAGCTTTAAAAAAATAACAGAATCTTTCCAGGACATCCATCATTTATTGCTCTCAGCTTTTATATGAATGGGGAACTAATCCTTAGTCCCCAAAGAAAATAATGATATTGTACAAAAAAGGAGGTAGACGGATTCTTTGAGTGCTTTCATATTCATAGTGATTTCTAGAGAAACACTGTGTTTAACAATTTTTCTATCCTGCATCATCCATTTTTGATTATGTTGGTGACTGAATTAAACATTAAATGACAAATAAAGCCAGTATCATTAAATAAATAAGCCCCCAAATGAAAAATATAAAAAGTTTAATGAATCTGAAAAATCGCACCCCTTTATCCTGCCAAATCTTGTTAATATAATCTAATAGTAATTATTATAATAGCACTGGAAAAGCATTGTTCTGTCTACATATAATCTGCACAAACATTCTACAAAGTGAGTGTTATTTTATCCACTTATGCAGATGAGAAAACTGAAGCACAGGAAGCTAATGTAAAATTAGAGCCCAGCCAATCAGGTTTCAAAGATCACAATTTGAATCACAACTTACACTGTCTCTCAGTTCCTTCACAAAAATGCACAATTTGAAGAACCATTTTTATCTAGGTCTTGGTATTAATATTATATTAAAGAAGTAAACACCTGTAAAATTTCTGTTTCAAATGAATGTACATTTTAAAAAATTCACTCATATTGTCTTTTTCATCCATAGATTATCTCAATCATCTACTCTCATTTGCTACCATGAAAATATACAGTAGCGAAAAGTGTTTGGGCAAATGATTACTAACATACTATTTTACAATTTTTTAAAAGTATATTCTATTCCCTCTGAAAGGAGAAAATTCAGGCGAACACACACATAAGAAATACATGGTATGAGAAAAAGATTAACATGAAACAGGGACGAGAGGTGGGAGGGAAAGGGAGAGAGAAGGGAAATTGCATGGAAATGGAAGGAGACCCTCATTGTTATACAGAATTACATATAAGAGGATGTGAGGGGAAAGGGAAAAAAAAACAAGGGAGAGAAATGAATTACTGTAGATGGGGTAGAGAGAGGGAAGGGAGGGGGGATAGTAGAGGATAGGAAAGGTAGCAGAATACAACAGTCACTAGTATGGCAATATGTAAAAACGTGGATGTGTAACTGATGTGATTCTGCAATCTGTATACGGGGTAAAAATGGGAGTTCATAACCCACTTGAATCAAATGTATGAAATATGATATGTCAAGAGCTTTGTAATGTTTTGAACAACCAATAAAAAAAATAAAAAAGAAGAAATACATGGTAAATCCATCATGGATTAAGTTCTAAAAACCCTATTAATTATACTATATTTTTACTTAGATATTATTATCTTCAAGGTATTTAAATAAAAATATGCATGTATTGCCTTTGTTTGGTCTAATAGTAGATGGTCAAAAGAGAATAGGAGAAACTACATACAAATCTGCTTTAGAAAGTTATTGATTATTGATACAGAACTTCATAAATTTATGACTAACCTATTTGATAAGCATGACAGTTACCATGGAATATAAGGAAACTATGAATATGACACAAGGGTAATTTTGAAGCTTTAGTGTAGCAATCTTTTCTTTTCTTGTTCTCTCCCCCCTTCTCTTTCTTTCTTTTAAATTTGTGGTACTGGGCTACCCTGAGCTTACATTCCAAGCCCTCTTAATTTTTTATTTTGAAAGAGGGTCTTCTTAAGTTGCCTTGAATTTATGATCATTCTGCCTCAGCCTCTCGAGTAGCTGGGACTATAGGTTTGTGCCACTTGCTTGGCTTATAATGCTTTGTTTTCTCATTCTTCTCTAGGTAGCTATTTGATCTATTTATCTATTCTTTTCCTTTTTTCCCCAACAGTTCCATAATGACTGATTCCTCAATTTAATTAGATCTTTTGTCATATCAACCAAACTGCTATTTACAATAAAATAAAGCTGCAGAACACAGTGCTTCACCTGATAACCTCTCAATATTATCTACTTTATAAACCTTTACATGGAAGATGAGTTCAAAATGTAAGCAAGAGTTAGACCTAGGCAGGAGTTCCACAAAAAGAATTTTTGGCTCTAATTCTAGCTTACCAGGACTCTGAAGTTTTATTTTTAAATTTATTAGTTTTTAAAAATTATTTTTTAAAGAGTTTTTAAAAGCAGCAATTCCTAATCTCTTTCCTGTGGTTCAAGCCAACTACCTATTTAACTACTTGATGAACATCTCTGCATGAATGGGCAGTATCACCTAAAAATTGGTACATTCTAGGGGATTGGGGCTAGAATGTAACTCAGTGGTAGAGTGCTTGCCTAGCACAGGTGAAGCAATGGGTTCAATCCTCAGCACCACATAAAAATAAATAAATAAAAAATTTTTAAAATTGGTACATTCTACACAAACTATCTTCTTTCTTATCCTCTATTTTTTTTAATATTTTATTTATTTTTTAGTTTTTGGCGGACACAAAATATTTTTTTTAAATATTTTATTTATTTTTTAGTTTTTGGCAGACACAACATCTTTCTTTGTATGTGGTGCTGAGGATTGAACCCGGGCCGCACGAATGCCAGGCGAGCGCGCTACCGCTTGAGCCACATCCCCAGCCCTCTTATCCTCTATTCTTATACAAAGCTCACAAACATGTTCCATGTTTCACCTAAATGACTTGCCAAGATACATGTGGAAGGGAACTTGAGATAATGACTGTTGACTCAATTTAATCTCTTCATATATCCACAAAGGTATACAAATAAGATCGACAACTAATAAGATCACATAAATCCAATGCCTTCAACATAACAAGAAGACAGTAGACTTCTACAGATGTAAATAGAAAGGTAAAGCCCAAGTTCTAGAAGAGATGTCTCTTGTGCTCACTGTAAGTCTTTGCATAGAGCTATAGGAGTGGGATTGGATCAGGAAAAGCAGTAAGGAAAAGCAAAGAAAGGAGGCCTAACACAGACTCAAAATCACCCCCTAGGAAAGAAAATGCAGCATAAGGTACAAGTATAGTGAGGTGACATCAGAGTGGCACCATTCTCAGGGCAGAGAAGAATAAGAGGGAAGGAAGAGGCACCTGTTCAAGCATAGAGAGTGAAGGGAAAAGAAGCTAGAGGGAGAAGTTTGGGATCTTGCAAGTCAAAGGAGAACCCTGAATAGAAGGACTTGCAAATCGTTCCCTCATGACTAATGTATTATCTAAAAGGAACAGTGTTTTGGTTTTGCAAATGACCAAAATGAAAGAGAGAAGAGACCGAAGATGATCAGAGGCTCAGAGACTCGTAAGACAAAAATCAATAGTGCCAACATAGACGTAATAAAATACCTGGAAAGAAAGGGAGATTTAGGGGCAAAGATATTCAAAGAAATAATGGATAAAACTTAAAAAATTTAATGAAAAACATTAATCTACATATTCAAAAAGTCAATAAATTCCAAATAGAATAAACACAAAGAGATTCATACTCTGACACATCATAGACAAACTGCTGACAACCAGAGAGAATATTCTGAAAACAGCAAAATACAACCATTCACATATAAGGGAACAACAACAAGATGCTTCATAACTGACCCTCATCAGAAAAATAATAGGAAGAAATAAATAAAATGAAAATTGGTTCTTTGGAAAGATCAATAAAATAGATGAATCTTTAGAATAGATTAAGCAAAAAAAAAGAGGAAAAAAAAAGAGAGAAATAAAAATCAAAATTAGGATCTCTAGAGAAATTTTTAAAAATTAAAAGAGTATATTATGAACAATTTTATGCAACTAAATTAGACAGATAGTTGGATAAATGCCTAGAAAGACACAAAATACCAAACTGGACTCAAGAAAAAATAGAAAACCTGGGAATATCCATAACAAGTAAAAAAATCAAATAAGTAATTAAAAAACTATCCACAAAGAAAAGCCCAGTATGAGATGAATTCTACCTATCCAGGCAATATCACTCTGATACGAAGTAGGCCAAAAAAAAAAAAAAATCACATTATTGCAGATCATCATTTTCATGAATATAAACTCAATACTCAACAAAATAATTATCAAAATAAATTCAGAAACATACGATGGTTACATGGAAATGCAAGGCTGGTTTAATATCTGAAAATCAATGTAAAACATCATGTGACTAGAATAAAAGACAAAATTGTTTGATCATCTCAGTAGACACAGAAAAAGTGACAAAACCCAACACTCACTCATAATAAATATCTCAACAAAGTAGAAATACAAGGGAACTTCTTCAAGGGCATTAGTAAAAAGCTTACATTTAATTCCATGTTTAATGGGGAAAGACTAAATATTTTACTCCTAAGATTGAGAAAAAGATGTTTGCTTTCATCATTTTAACACTGTATTGTAAATTCTTGCCAGTACAAGAAGACAATAATAGAAATTAAAAACATAGATTGGAAATGAAAAATGTAAATGACATGATACTGTATATAGAGAATACTAATTAATTTACAAAAAAATATTAGAACAAATGACCAAGTTTGCAACATAACGGATGAAAAATCGGTATATCACAATAAACTATTTCTATCTACTGGCAACTGTGTTTCTACCTACTGGCAACAAACAATATGAAAATACAATTAAGAAAACAACCCTATCCATAATAACATAAAAATAAAATCCTTAGGAATAAATTTAAAAACAGAAAAAAATTCCATGTTCATGGATTAGAAAACTCAACTAAATGTGAGTTACTATAAAGTTAACTATACAGTAAATTCAATCCTCATAAAACCCCCATAGGGCCAGGGTTGTGGCTTAGTGGTAGAGCACTTGCCTAGCATATGTGAGGTACTGGTTTCATCCTCAGCATCATGTAAAAATAAATAAATAGATAATAAAAAACTTTAAAAATCCCCATAGGCTATTTTAAAAATGGAAATTGACAAGATGAGTCTAAATTTATATGGGAATGTACAGGGTCCTGAACAGTAAAGATAACTTTGGAAAGAAAAAAAAAATTCGGAAGAGCTATATTACCTGTCTTAAGGTTATGATAAACCAAGAGGTGTAATACAGACTTAAAAACAGACATCTGTATCAGTGGAAAATAAAAGTGAGCCAAGCAATGGACTCTTATTTATTGTTGCTTTACTCCACTTTATGCTGCAGATTACCTGAGACTGTGTAATTTACAATGAACAGAAATTTACTGGCTTACAGTTCTGGAGGCTGGGAAGTCCAAGTACTATGGCACCAGCATCTGGTGAAGGCCTGGATGCTGTGCCAAAAACATGGTGGGAGGGTGAGAGCAAGAGGGGGCTGAACTTACCCTTTTATAATGGCACCAATCCTTTGGAGCCCTCATGACATAATTATCTCCTAAAGGTCTTACCTCCCCCAACATCACCACAATGTAATTAAATTTCAACATGAGTTTGGAGGGGACAAAATTAAAACTATAGCAATGGTCAGTTGTCATCATTGTTTCCTTCTTGTCCTCCTCCTCCTCCTTCTTATTTATTTATTTTTTGGCTATACCAGGGTTGAATCCAAGACCTCTTGGGTGCTGGCAAGTACTCTATCACTGAGCTATATTACAGCTCCAGTATGCCAAAATTAACAAAAAGTAAATAATAGACAAAAGATAAAACTAAAACTATATAATTTCTAGGAATAAAAATGGGAGAAAAATCTTTGTGACCTTCATTTAGGCTAAGATTTCTTAGCTAAGACATCAAAAAGATAATCAAAAGGAAAAAAATTGATAAAATGGAATTAATAAATTTAAAAATCTTTCACTTCTCAGAATTTGCTCCATTAAGAAAAGGAAAATATAAGCCACAGATGGAAGAGAAATATTAGCAAATCATATATATGGTGAAGGATTTATATCCAGATTTTATAAAGCACACTTAAAACTCTACAGAAGTCAAACAACTCAATTTAAAAATGGATAAAATGCATGAACAGACATTTCACCAAATCAGATACATAAATATCTAACGGTCACATAAAAGGATGCTATTCATAATTAGGATAATATAAATTAAAACCATAGTAAGATAGCACTAATTCATTAGAAATGCTAAAATCAAAAGAATGATAAATTCAAGTATTGATAAGATGTGTAGAAACTGGAACTTTCACACATTATTGGTGGGAATGTAAAGTGGCACAGTTCCATTGCAAAAACCAGTTTGGGTGTCTTATAAGTTTAACAAATATAAACAGTAATTTCACTCCTCAGTATTTATCCTAGGAAAATTAAAACTATGTATACACAAAGATAGGTAGACACATGTTTATAGTACTGTTATTCACATGAACGTCAAACTAAAAAACAATCTATCATTTGACGGACGGATAAACAAAATATGGACCATCCATGCAGTAAAATATTCATCAGTAACATAAAGGAATAAACTACTGTCCATTCCATAATGTGAATGAATATTTTTTAAAAAATATACATATTTTAAAAAACCAAAAATAAAATTCTAGAACATAATGCTAAGTGAAAGAAACCAAACAAAAAAAAAACCTACATATTATATGACTCCGTGTCCAATACATTTCTAGAAAAGGCAAATGTGTCACTGAGAAGGATGTAACATCTTTGTTATTTCTGACAAAAATGCAAAACCCCAAATTATGAGGAAGCAGTAGACATAACCAGATTGAAGGACATTCAACAGATAACTGGCCTGTACTCTTAAAAAAAGGTCAAAGTCATGAAAGACAAAGATCAAAATAGTGGTCCAAATTAAAGAGGACCAAAGATGAAAAGAAATGTGCGAATTTCTTAATTGGATTCTGGAATGGGGAAAGATAATAATAATAATAATATAGGGATAATTGGCAAAAATACTGTCTGTGGTTGGATGTTGAATTTCTTGACTTTGGTAAATTGTACTGTGGTCATGTTTAAAAAAAGGCCTAATTCTTAGGAAATAAATGCTAAAGTACTTAATAGTGAAAGGGATATGATGATTGCAACTTATTCTCAAATGGTGCAGGAAAATTAATATATTCAGAGAGAAGAAAGTGAGCAAGGGAGAGAACGGAAGTAAAACAAATGAAGCCAAATGTACACAATTAATGAGCTTCGATGAGAGTTCATTTCCTATTTTCTGTAAGTTTGAAAAACCCTATTTTAAACCGTCTTATTTAACTCCTTTATGTCTGCTTATGTTACAACAAAAAGATCTTTCTCCACATCAATAGGATCCAGCATCATCCTTCCTCAAAAATATCTAACTCAATGTCTTTTCTGCTTAGTCTTCTGCCAACTCCACTGTCAGCCTCTTTCTCTGCTCACCTGCTGTACTTCCCCCTACTCCTTTTTAAAACATTATGCACCACATTGTTCTTGCACTGTTTGCCCAAGTCTGTCAAATGGTAGACTTCTCTTAAAGTCCTGGCATTGTTTTATTTGCTAAACTTTCTACTGAATATATAAAATGACTTTGTTTTAAGGAAGGGCAATTAGTACATTGTGATTATTGTTACAATACTTGCGCAGGAATCAAGATTAAATGGTGACATAGATATTGGCAGGAAATAGATGCAACTGGTTGAAAATATTGTTTGTAGTTACCAGTGACCTTCAACTGGAGCTATACAGGGCCTCCTGACTTCAACATTTACCAAGTAATGAAGTTCTATGTACAATGGCGAAGACAGGTATGGTCTTGGACCCACTGGTGATTATGAAGATAAACAGACCCACAGGTAGGTACATACTTGAATGGATCATTAAATTCTTCAGAAATTTTCCTTAAAGATCTGCAAAACGAAGTACATAGAAACAAGAAAACACTTGGAGGTCCATTATGTATTGTATAACATTCCCATGATTGTATAACAGATCAAGCCCTGAGGGCTTAAATAAGCCTAAGTATACACCAAGAGAAGTGGAGAATAGGAAAAGAGTGGGGAAAATTTTTTTCTAAACTAAAATGTTCCAGGAAACTCAACAGAGGCTTTAGGAGTGATGGAAGAAAGGAGAGCTTTTAAAGGTCAGGCGAGACCAGTTAGGGATTCATAAGCTAAAGTCACAACCTGCTATGTTGTTTTTCTTGTTTCTAATGAAAAAGCTAAAGGTGTATTTATATTTAATACGTTTCTCAGGAAAATGGGCTATGAATCATTCTCACCTGTCTTATAAATACCAAAAGCCGGGCGCAGTGGCATACACCTGTAGTCCCAGCGGCTTAGGAGGCTGAGGCAGGAGGATCCTGAATTCAAAGCCAGTCTCTGCAATTTAGCGAGACCCTAGGCAACTTAGAGAGAATCTATCTCCACACACACACACACACACACACACACACACACACACACACATGTATGTATGTATGTATGTATGTATGTATGTATGTATGTATATGTAAATAAAGGGCTGGGATGTTGGGCGAGTGGTTGAGCACACCTATGTTCAATTCCCAGTGCAAATAATAATGATAATAATAAAACAATACCGAGTCACTGCATTTCAAAAGAACCCAAAGGATTTATAAAGTTGTCTTGGTGACAATACAATGGGACTAATTACAACTATCCTCAGAAAACCAGGGGACCACAGAACTTACACAATCCACGTAGGGGTTCGCCTCGGCCTTCCTCTGGGACCCCTCCCGTGGGGGCGGCCACCCGGTCTCCCTCGGCCCGCCCTCCGCGCGCCCTCCCGCAGCCCTCCCCGCCGACCGCACATTCCCAGCCCCGCACCGGGCTGGTCGTGCGAGGCCGGGAGCCACCTGTCGCTTCCTCCCCTCAATCCTTGCCCTCCATTGGCCTTCCAGAGGCCGGGAAGGGGAAGGCAGCCTTCTCCTCTTCCTCGATCCTCCGCTGGGAGCCTCCACCCAGACCCCACCTCTTTC